GGGAAATACTTTACTGGAAAGAAACCAGGACAGGCAGTACGTGACCCCTCTGCCCCCAAAGAATAATCTGTTGTCTCTGAGGCAACTGAAGTTCAACTGACCTTCCAGTAAAAACCAGGCTGCTCTTCAGAGGACAGAAATCTAATATACTAGGAAAAACCACATTTATCAGTTATTTTCACTTTTCTATGTAATATATACTAGAATTTTCACCTTAAAATGGGAATATTCAGTTTCCACAACTATCAGTGGGATGTGAGAGCTTTGAGTCATTAACAGTAACTGCTGCAAATGCTTTTACTGACTGATAAGACACAGAAACAGCCACATAAAGAAACTGCAGCACCTTCAGCAAACAGGGTACACGGATTACTTTTACATATAGCACAATCCTGTACTGCAATGGCTGTTACATATGCCTGAGAGAGAGGAGAGTGAGAGCAGAAGAGGACATGGGGGTGTTTTCTGATGCTGGAAGAAAATTCTATTTAAAGCAAAAATGCAGTCTAAAAAAAATTGCTATGTAATAGTTTATGTTGGGTGAGGAGATGCGCTTTGTCAAATGAAGCCCATAAAATACACATTTTATTTCAATAGCCAAAACTTTTCTTTCCTCAGTTCTTTGGCACTGAAGGCAATTCCTGTTTGTAGATGTTAATGGTACTAATGCTAAGAAACAAAGAAAATTCTGACAGCAAATGTTAATATATTATTTAGATGAAAGAGCTGAATACTTTCTGTGACAGCTTCTAATGCCAGGTAGGAATCAAGACCAAAACCCTCAGTCCTCTTACAAGTTTTGTCTTTCAGTGTGGCTAAATGTATGATTATGTTTATAAATATGTTAATCATTGAAAAACCAGCCTGTTTTTCACCTTTAAAGGATTCTTGGTAGGTCTGGGCATTGGACTTATGGACTTTTCCAATTACTTCAATAAGTAAGGGCATGCCAATAGTATGCCTTCACCTCTTAAAACGTGCAATAGAAATGAGGAAAAAAATTGCAGAAAGTTGTAACAAAAACAAACACAGTAAATCATCATGCAAAAGAGCTGGAAAAAAGAAGAAACTTTAGAGAAGTTGGCTGAGAAGGAACACAGCAGATGTACAGAAAGCAATGACTGGAATACCTATTAACTCTTTCTGTTAATGAACTAAGAGACAGTCACTGAAATCCCTTTGCAGTAACCTGGCACACTCCTCCCCCCTCAAAATCTCTTTAAGAGACTTTGTTAAGAGTTTGTACAAGTTGTTGCCATAAATTACCACTCAAGTCATTATAAGAAAAATAATGAGAACATCTACAGCTATGTTTAGCAGGATAAAAAATTGTAGATGAGAATATCTGAGTGTAAAAAGCAATCTTCAGTACTGGGGAGCCAGCAACAAACGTCTCCCATAGGTACCTTTTTTTTTTTTGTAACTGTCTACTACTGGTTTTCCTGCAACTTTTGCTGAAACATCTGGTAATGTGCAATGTGTGAGACAGCTCTGGAGGAACGGTCTGCTCTGGGTGACATTTACTATGTCACCAGCATCTGCAGAAGTGGAGTCTAGGTGAAATAAGAAGTGACTACTGAAAACAAAACTTTCAACACTCTCCGAGTGTGCATTAAACAGCAGACCTTGGTAGGCACCGGGGCAACTGAATAGTGTATGAATGAACAGTAGAGGCAACTGCTATATCCAGACAGCAAAAAGTCTATGCAACGTGCAGCTGGAAAAAAACTAGTGCTGAAGAATAATTTTGGTGAAACATGGCAATAATTTAAAGCATTAAAAAAAAAATCTCCAGTAAATGAAGCTACATAAAAATTCTAAGAGAAGGACTAGAACTAGACAAAGATTATAGCAGTTTCTTTAAATACTATGATTTGGGAAAATACTGTTCTATCTAATCAATGAGGAAAACCAAAGGAATAGTTGAAGCAGGAAAAGTGTTTTCATGCAGCTCCTATTTTCAGTTGAAGAAAGAAAAAATAATAAAATATAACCAACACCCCAAACTGTTCTGAAAAAGCACGCTGTGAATCCAAGACCAGTGAATCTTGGCTCCACAATGTGGGAAAAATTGCATTTACACTGCAAGCTAGCCAACAGCTGATAAACAGTTTAGGAATCTGAAAGCTGAAAAAGTTATTGACAATGATTTGGAATTACAGAAATCCTCAAGGTACTATGTAGAGCCAGCTAAGATTATCTGAAAAGAATATAGCAAATCTCCTGACTTGTAAACATCAGCAAACTATTGTAGCTGAAAATTTCATTAAATTAATATATTTCATTCTCAATGAAACGTCACCAGATTATCTATTAAAAAAAAGATCAATTAACAGATCCTTTCAACTTTCATGCCAAGTCATTATTCTACTTTTGCATCTAATTTTAGAAATTTGTGAACAAATTTACAACTGTTCAGACTGAGCCATCTAGGATATAACCGAAAACCAGCAGTTCCCTTGTGACTCATTCATTAAGAGCTAGTATCACAGAATAAAGCACCTATACTAATTCTATACCCTATTGTGATGCTCTTCTCCAAACCCTTGAGCAAAAGCTTAAAGTTACGGCATTTGACAATTCTGAAAGACATTATTTTCCAATGGTTTCTAAACAGTCAGCCTCCCCACATACCTTCTAAAAGCTATGAGATATGCTGTATACAGGATGGGGTATGCTGAACGAAAGGTACTTGACAGTGATCTATGAATGTAATATGACACGATGCATTTCAATGCTGCAAGCATACACAGCATCTCCAATTTCTGCACTGAACAATTAAAAAAAATGCCACCTATGAGCAGATGTTGAAAATATCAGACAAGATTTCACTGAACAGAAATCAGAAATTCTGAATTCGTATTTGTGTTATTCAGTAACATCAAAGCATTCAGATTCCATGTAATGGATTAAATACCTTTTCCTGCATAAGCTAATCTCCAACTATTAACCTGTCCTACAATTATATGGGAACTCAACCAGTATGAATTTGTAACTTGTAACATCCAAATTGCATTAAGAATGGTGAAAATAACACTTAAGGGATACAAAACCATAAAATAAAAGGGTGTGCAACACTCTTGGCAACCGAAGAGGGTACATAACGTTCCCTGAATGGTCTTCCATTACCTAGGCAATCAAAGACCACATGAAGCGTAACTTTATGCCACAGCCAAGAGACGCAAGGCCATATTCTCACTGCAGTTAAGTCCTGCTGCTGCACTGAAGTCAAGAAGACAAAGGGATAGATCAACTCACATCACACTGAAACGGCTTCTCTCCGGTGTGGGTTCTCATGTGCTCATCTAGGCCCCGCTTTTGACTGAAAGCCTTGTTACACTCAGAACATTGGTACGGCTTTTCCTGTATGAAATGACAAGAGCAAGTGAAAGTGAGTGAAAGTGAGTCAACACAGAGCCCAAGTCATTAAAGTGGAATTCCAAGTCATTAAAGGAGTGGAATTCCATGCTGGATGGTGCAAGTTTTATATTCTCTCTAAGGGATTACAGTCAGTGAAAACAACAGAAAATGACTTTCAAATGATTAAGTGAAAGCTGGGAAAACTGTGGCCTGACAGTTTCCACTTCAACACCCACTTATGAATTAATTATCTGTTCCAGTCTTTCCAACCTAGCCATTTCAGGAGTCTGTGTTTTGTAATGTGAAATGTACAAAAACATAAAGTTCCAATGTACTTTATCCTTCACAAAAGCTTAAAGCATAAAGACAAGTAAGATGGCTATAAAAACCTCAGGTTTGTTAGCATGTTTCCAAGCAGGAGAAGAGGTGAGGGGAGGAAGTGGGGGTCCAAGGAAAGCTTGTGGTAAAGAAAAAACTTATTTTGAAAAGTGGTGACAGAAGGTTAATCACATATTCATTGCAGAATCTCAAAAGAAGTGCAGATGGCAACAAAGACATCTGTATTTTTATTAGAACTATTGGTTAGCAGCTACTGTAACACATGATATTATAAAAGTTGCAAGCTCACTGACCTCAAATAAATAATTAGAGATATGTACGGAAAACCAATTATACAAAGACTTTCTTCTTTGAAGTTCTTCATAAATATAGAAACTTAAATATAAGGTGCAATTTCTCCTTTATTCCAGTAAAGCTAAAAAAGAACTGCATGGAAAACAACATTTTAACAAATTAATTAAACGTAAAAGTTAGTATTATGGCACTGCACATTGCCTCCCTAAAATTTTGATGCTACAGGGGAACTTTATTCTGAATCAAACAATTATACGTATTTCACTCTCATTCTACATTTTTCTGTGGTCCCTAATTCTGTAGTGCATTAAGTTCTAAAGATGGGTATTTTAGGCAACAAAGTACACATATTTTACTAAATTAAATCTAAAACAAAGACTGAAACTCAATAGGCAATACAAATGCTAAGTCCATGAATTAACAAATAATAGGCAATAATCTTAATGGTCTTTTGGCAGATAATGTGGGATCCACGGAAAAGTGAGGAGGAACAACTCAGGTTAGGTGTTGAAGCCACAAGGTGAAGAAATTCTCTGGTTATTGAATTCCTACTCTGAGTATGTAGGGGACAATCGGGTCTCCACATATTGCTGAATCCTGCCAGGTACTGAGCATAAACCGTACAAGTAACACAGTGGACTCAAATCACTGTTGTTCTGGGTAAGTCCCAAGGTCTCTCCTTAGGACAGCTCTTTGCAGGTCCAGAGGTCTCAGTGGGGATGAAGACTGGGTTCTTCATTTTGCAAGTTGTGATGGAGTACCCTTCCCATGAGGTAGAAAAGGCAGTGTCATGCACAGAAACATCGCAACTTGTAGTGGCAGGAATCTCTAGCTCACCAAAACCAGGTCACAAGCCATGTACATAGGGAAAAGTATTTCTCCAGCAATCTCAGTTTTGGTTATGAGTAAATCATGGGATAAATAAAGTACACTTCAGTATGGTGCAAGACAAATCTTTCTACTGACACGGGCTGAGTACACAGTGCCCAGCTGTGTATAATCAAACTGGCCTATGGCAAAGCCACGAATGAGCTATTCCGTGCAAGACTCTCCTTACACATGTTTATCATCTTTGTGTTTTTTCACCATTATCTTAATTTTGTAATTTCCAAGACTCTTCGGTACAAAGTAAAACATAACAAATTACTTAAAAAAAGATCTGAACTGATCTTAAAAAAAAAAAAATAAAAATCACCTAGACCAAAAACTTAATGTCACGGGGAATTTTGCTAGACTGACTAAAGACTTCATGGAGCACGCCTGTAATTTTTAAGGAAATGTACAGATAAGCCATATGAAAAGCAGGTTTCCGCAACACACCCTTAATTGGTTTTGCATTGTGGTTAACATAAACCACATTTTCCTAGAGTTCTCTGAAAACAGCCTTTGTCTGTGTAGCTTGTTCCACAGAAAGTGCAAAGTAAAGTACATGATGAGTATATCTTAAACACCTATGAAAACATTCATTATTGCAAACTGTAGCGGGTGTACTCAGTCCTTTTTTATCATCTTGTTCTACAGGGATCTGAAGAGTTAACTCAGTTATGACTGTCTTACTCATTTGAGAGTTAAATGGATAATGCCTAGACTCCATTTTGGAGGAAGAGCCATTATAAACTCTGGAAAGCTGAAGTCACAAGCCTGGGCTGGAATATCTTCTGCAGGTTTATGTTTGGCTGTTTGTACTATTGTCTACAGCAAAAAAGGGTGTATCTAAGTATCTCTGTTGCATCTGTACTCCCATTCACAGCTGTAGTGCATGAAACACATCCGAAGCTGTCTTTGATCTAATTTTAGACCCCTTACATGTGTATATTCCAGTGACTTCAGACGCCACAATTCACACCAGCTCTCTTCTCCCCTCTCTCCACTAAGCTAAGCTGCCCTTCATTCACATTTGTGGCCATTTCAGTAAAGTCAGTAGTGTTGTCCAGAGCAAAACTTGGTCCTAAGTTTCTCTGCAGAGAAAAACACTTTTTTGTCAGTTTTTAAGATGACATCATTCTCAGAGACTAATTTCTTTAAAACAAAACATTCTGTCCTTTTTCTTTTCTCTCTTCCCCTTCTTTCCCTCATATCAAATTTCCATTGCACAATACTCGGAGAAGGCAACATTTGTAACATGGAAATGATGATGGTGGCTTGGCCTAACCACCACTGCTCTAAACCTGTATAGAAAAAAAATAAAAACCACAGCAGTAAGTCTGAAAGTTAATGCCACCACAAATAGACAATAAGGACCAAGAATGAGATTACAACAAAGTTGGACAAATTTAAAATGTCAAGCAAAGGGGAAAACCTGCTAACTGTCAACAAAACAAGAGGTCACTGGGAAGATCATATAAGTCTGACTTCAGAGGAGTTACCAACTGCTAGAACTATAAATCTATTCTCTGTTCAAAAAGCATCTGCCAGGCCACAGCTACGCTGGCAGCAAAGCCAAATGATTACATGAAGACAGTAGGGAGAGTGAGAGAGTCAGGATGTAGCTGATACTGCAATGATTTAAAACTACATTTTGAAGTACATCAGGTATAAATGGAAATATGTACATCAAGATTCAAAACCGTCCTGCCTCCAAACAAAGAAAAGCCAAGGAGACCCCAAATGAGACTTGTCATTCTAGAAGATGCTTCACTATAAGGCTGGTATGCTGGCTTGGACGCTCCTGTCTCTGATGATTTTCACTTCACTACGTCAAAACTGAAAGAAACTCAACATTTTAACAACTATGACAAATACAACAGTGCCTGCAACACACATTTCTTCTGTCTTTGGATAGCTGAATCATAAATGGCTACCTTGGATTCTATGCAAATTGCGCTTTGCATGAGAAAGACATCACAACACCACAATTTCTCAAGGCCATTTGACGCCACCTTTAACAGATTGATAGAATGCGTACACAGAATCCTGCAACCACAGCAGATGGAAATACTTAAACGCAGAAAGTTTGAACTGCTAACTGCTGCTGTAGTTGACTGTATCTCCCTTAAGAAATATAAATATATTATGTATACTAACTTAGCGCTAGCGCACGTGGTTGTTTCTGTAAACCTGGCAAAATTGATTATACGTCTAAAACATGAATGACTTTGGTAGGAGTATCTCCAAATAGCTTTTCAAACATGAATTTATAACTATTACATGCGCTCATCAGCAACAGCAAGAAAAACACCATCTAGACACTACTACATCCGAACAAATCATAGTTCAAGATTCAAAGAAATGAGTGTTAAGAACAGTTCAAGTAAGTCTTCCCAAGGTGTCAGGAGCAAGTTAAAACTGGGCTGAACCTGCACTCAGGAGACCTTATCCTTCACTTTTTTGATTAAATTAATTTACTACAGTGATTGCAGATCACTCAGAAAGTGAACTTTTGACTACAGAAGTGCTTTTTAACATCAGATTTTAATTGATATACAGATTATACTTAAATCCCAGAGCTATCTAGGATCTAATCTTCTCTCTTATGCTCTTTTTTTTAATATATCTTACTGCATTCAGCAGATTTATTTCTGACTTATTTCAAAACTTTACATATTGCACATTTCTTCTTGTAGGGCATGTTGATGCATCTAGGCACACATTAGAATTACCAGCATCCCCGTATAAGATGTACTGACCATGTTAAGTTTCACGTGAATATCAACTTGGTGGATCTGAATTTTCTACATGCTGAAAACTGAACATTCAGAGAAGAGAAACAAGGAAAAATATATCAGATTTTATGTTACCTGTAAGCATTTAAACATAATCTTACATGTAAACATTTACACTTGTGACATGAGTGTGAAAATTGCCAGACATGAACAAGGTGATGAGACAGGACAGGTTTTTTTTTCTTCTTTTCTGAAGACATACACAATACAGATCTGTGTAACAAAAAAATCTGTAGACAAATATGATGTATTTTGGAAAAATTAACAAGAAGGTCTAGTACACGTATGAAAATTCTTGGTGAAATCTGAATAAGCCTGAAAAAGTCTCGACCTAAACTCCTTGGTGAACAGTGGGTATGGACATTTTTTAGGTGAGAGGAAACACAGGGATAAAGAAAAAGATCAGCTTGTACTTTTGATAGCAAAATATTTTAAAATACATAGATAATCCTTTAGTTCACCTATTTTTTTCTTCTTGTTTTTAATTGCTTTCATTGTTCTAAACCAAAGAGCTTTCCCTTCCTCCCAAAGAGAAAGTCTTATATTGCCTATACATGAGATGTAGATACAGTAACACTATCTGCTTTTAAACCTTACATGGAGAATTTGAAAATACTTGTATTACTCTTAATAAATATCATTTGCTACTACATGTATTTGCATTACCGCCTGAACACAGAGTTTATACAAAAACTGTTTTGAAAAAAA